GACAGAAAGGCTCTCTGGTGGAAATAGAAATGTACACTGGAACCATTGCTTCTGGGCCTCATGGTCCTTTCATGCTTTGATAGAGGGAAGGGGTAGAACAACTGTCTAATGGTGGGACTGGGAGAATGATCACAAAAAGGATGCCAGGCTCCTGAAAGTGGAGTGGGAACGGCTGATATCAGAGTGAGGGGCTAAGACCAGCCCTGTGATGGTTGGAGGAATCCTGGCTAAGTGAGGGAAAAGGAAAAGATAAAAGCCCCAAGGAGAAACCACGAGGACTTGCAGCCCCACTGCTCTGTAGCTGATTGCAGGCAGTCAGACACCCAAACAGACAGACAGACTAAGGCTGTTCTCAGGCATCATGGCTGAGCTCAGGCTACCCTGCTTTGCATATCTCATGAGCATTTTTGTGTTTGACCACAGCTGACTAAAGTATCTTTGCTTTCAGAGGATTTGCTAATAGAGATACAACTGCAAGAGAAAGGCAGATACTCCAGTCCAGGCCAATAGGAAAAGCTGAACTTTCACCTTTCTCTCAGAGTTTATGATGAGGTTTGGAATTCAGACATATGTTCAGAAGACTTTTTCTTTCTTTTTTCACTTGACTTTCCAAAGGATGGCAAGGACCTTAGATGACAATTTTCTTTTTTTTTTTTTTTTTTTTTTTGAGACGGAGTCTCGCTCTGTCTCCCGGGCTGGAGTTGCAGTGGCCGGATCTCAGCTCACTGCAAGCTCCGCCTCCCGGGTTCACGCCATTCTCCTGCCTCAGCCTCCCAAGTAGCTGGGACTACAGGCGCCGCCACCTCGCCTGGCTAGTTTTTTGTATTTTTTAGTAGAGACGGGGTTTCACCATGTTCACCAGGATGGTCTCGATCTCCTGACCTCGTGATCCACCCGTCTCAGCCTCCCAAAGTGCTGGGATTACAGGCTTGAGCCACGGCGCCCGGCCGACAATTTTCAAACTAATATTTTCACCAAAAAGGATTAAATAAAAAACAACTAGTAATCTTTCTTTTTATATTTTGGTTTACAGTTTAGTATTCTCCTTCATGTGGAGCATGACCAGTTTTATACTTTACTGGAAAAAAAAACAAAATATGTTTTAATTTTATAATTTACTTTCCCCAAAGCCCATCAGATTTCTCCAAATACTCATCTAGAATATATCCTTCAATTTTTCATGAGACTCTGGACATCAACGGGTAAGACTGTTCCATGACATCATGACACCTTAGCCCAAATACCCTCTCCTGTGGTTCTATTTCCTTCTACAGTCATGTGCTGCCACATCATGTTTCAGTAAAACAACAGATCGCATATATAATAGTGGTTTCATAAGAGTATAATGGGCCAGGTGCGGTGGCTCACGCCTGTAATCCCAGCACTTTGGGAGGCTGAAGCAGGTGGATCACCTGAGGTCAGGAGTTCAAGACCAGCCTAGCCAACATGGTAAAACCCCTTCTCTACTAAAAATACAAAAATCAGCCAGGTGTGGTGGTGAGCATCTATAATCCCAGCTACTTGGGAGGCTGAGGCAAGACAATTACTTGAACTCGGGAGGTGGAGGCTGCGGTGAGCTAAAATCACACCACTGTACTCCAGCCCAGGCAACAAGAGCAAAAATCCATCTCAAAAAAATAAAGTATAATGGAGCTGAGAAACTGCAACACCAGAATAAACAAACTTAACTGCAAACAAGAGAGCCAGGATTTGAACACCCCTGACTCCAGAGCCTGTGTGCTGAGCTACCAAGCCTTTCTGCTCTCACCAGTGTCATATACTAAATGTTCTGGGATCACCTCCACCAAGCAGCCTTCCTGGTCAGCATCTCCACCCCACCTCCTCTGCTCTGGGTTGCATCTGCCCTTAATGTTCTCATAGCTCTTCATCAATTGTCTCCCAACAGGGACTGCATATCCCTTGAAGACAAGGTCCATGGCTTATTATCTTTATAATCCCAGCACCTCCCATAGTGGCTACCAGAGAGTGGGAGCTTAAGGAGTGTTGAAATAAGAGACACCTAGAGAAGATGCCAGAATTAAACATCTATTATTCTCATGTTGAATCTATTATATATATTTATACTTTCATTTAATATAATGGCATTACTATAATTATCCCTTTTACAACATAATATTGATGGCTAATTTAGATGAATTGACTCTATTTTCAAGTAATTCTGCTACAGCTCTTTGACTATGGTAGGCAGCTAAAATATTCAAGGTATCAACAGTGGCCAAATGAATAAATAAAAGAAAAATAAAGGTCATATATTAAATAAAGTAGAATCAAATGGTAATTGTTAAGAGTGAAGGCCAAAATGTAACCAACCATGATGAATATTTAAGAGCTCCCATTTTAGCAATCGATGCCTTTCCCCCACAAGAACTCACTATAACGCACTGCTCAGATCCCATTGAAGGGAAGAGTTCCTGTCACCTCTCTTCCAGACTCCCTGTCAAGCCAGGCTTTCTACTCTTGAAAGCACCCTTAACCCTTGACTTCAGGAGGCTGCTAGCAAAAGTCATGACACAGAGAAAATGTGCACTAGCAGAGTCCTTACTAGGAGCACAAAGTTAGGAGCCCAGCTCCTGAGCAAGAGAACAGAAGAGCATAGTGGTAAATCTTGAGCCTATACCTACTAGCATTTATCTTGAGCAGGTTACTTAACTTCTTCAGGTCTCAGTTTCCTCATATGTAAAACAGATGTAAAACAGCCCCTACTTCATAAGGCTGCTGGGAGGATTTGGTAAGATGATGTATATAAAGTACTTCCCACATTACCTGGCACATCGTAAGTGCTCAGTAAATGTCAGCTACTGTGGTCTAGGCAGATTGGTGAGTGATAGCATCAACGTCTCACACAACAGAACCAGCCTGTGGGATAGCTTTAGCACAGGTGCCAGGACTAGAAAACTTCAATCCTCACTGAGTCCTGCAATAATATGTCAAGGGAACTGATATGGTATAGACTGCCTGGATGCAAATGATCAGCTTCTAGCTGTGTGAGCTTAGAAGAGTTTCTTAACGTCATTGTGCTTCAGTTTCCTCATGTGTAAAGTGGTGACAATAATTATACCTGACCCATACATTATCGTGATTAAAGGTGTATTTATATGTGTGTGTTGTGTGTGTACGTGTATATCCATATATACACACACACACATACTACACATGTATGTATGTGTATATACATATATGGATATACACGTACACACACAACACACACAAAAAACATATATGAACAGCTTTGGTACAAAACAATATAATAAGCTGTTATTATTATTATTCCAGGCTACCTTCAGTCTTCACTTTCTACCCAACAGCTCTGTGTTGAAGTAGATAGAGAAATGACATTCTATGTGGTCAGAGGGAAATTTTAAATATCTTCCTACATTTGTTCAAATAAGCTGAGAAATCCTTGGTACTCAGTATTTCTACTGGACAAAGTTGGAGTCCAATATTTTGATAGGACCCTTTCTGTTTTTAAATTATTTATTAACCAGTTTGTGACAATGCACAGGAATTCATATTTTTCCTATAAAAGTCTGGTTCTCCTGCCCCTAAGTGTTTCAGAGAGAGAAAGAAAGAGGTCTGGCTCAGGAGAACAGTTTTGTCGAGTAAAAATGGCCCCAAAACTGTTTACAATTCTCATTTGATTACTCTTACCATAGAAAACAAAACAAAACCAAAAAAACGGTTATGAGGACTTTAAATAAAACTCATTATATGAAAAGGAAACAGCACAAGTCGCACACAAAACTACTGCATAGTTTCTGAATTAAGTCAAATGAAGTAAGGAACATCCAAGATAAGGCTGAAACACACCCTTCCCACTAGTGATCTGTTATTCTCTGATTAAAAAAAAAAAAAAAGCAAACAACTGTAATAGAAGCCAACTCTGAGCTATGTGAGGTCCTTGCAAAGGGTACCTTCTCTATTTCCTCCTACCAATATCCACAGCAGTGCTGTACCAAGACATTTCTGCACTGTAGTGCTTTCATAGTCACTAGATCTCTCTCCCACCCCCAGCAGCACCCCCCTCAACACACAGACAATTACATGGATGGTTTAGGGTGAGGGCGAGGAAAGAGAAGACTGAACAGTTTCTGATTCACTGCACACACGGGGTCCTGTTGTAAACACCTGGATACTCAGCAACCACCAGCTCTCCCCCATTATCCCTCCCCAGCACTTGGTTTCCAAACATGGAAGAAAAAGCCCCTACAAAAGACTGTATCTCAAACTGTCACAACGCCCACCCCATACCCAGCACAATGCAGAATTCATCAAAATCATATTTAACAGGCCCCAGAAACTTCAAACTACTAAAATTTTTCTGGTAGTGCTATCTGGATACATGCCTGTTGCATTTTAAGCTAGATGAGGTAAAATATTTGAAAGAATCCTATATTCTAGCTCTCCTAATATAATATATATCGTTTATTATCCAAATTTGCCACATGTCAGAAAGCCACTACTCTGGTGGCAGCTCAGCAGCCTATGGAAAATGAGTCAGGACACTCAGTCTAGTTGCAGACAGCAGATGCCTGGGTCACATATCATCCATACAGGGGACAGCTCTAGAACCAGTGTCCCAGTGAGGCTCAGTCGGTGGCAAGACCGGCCAGAACAGGGAAACTGTGACCCCGAGTAGTCAGAGTCCAGGAGCAGAGCTGGTGTGGGAGAAAGATTCCAAGGGAGACAACTGGTACTGAGGAGTTCACAGAAGAAAAAAGGAAGATTTGGGGCCTGAGGCAGCACACCACCCCCCAGGGAGCGGACCAGCTGAAGCTCAGTCATAAGGAACAGGACAAAAATCAGTCACCAGTGAGCCACACCAGATCCTTTCAAGAATTAGTGGTGTTTGGATATACAAACACAGATAAATACACCTAACTATGTATGAGAGAGAAACTCTAGTTAAGAAAGTATAGAATTAGGTATCTAGTCTCAGATTTAAGCCTCACAAGCTATGTGACCTTAGGCAAATCACTTACCCTCTCTCAGCCTATTTCAGCAGCTGTAAATGGAGACTTCATCTTTCACACCTGTTGCACAATGTTGTGAGGACCTGATGAAAGAACAGATGTGAACACAGTTTATAATCCACAGTACTCAAGAGCCATAGCAGGGGCCTCTTTTCTTCCTTATTAACATACCTGAGGGATGCTCTGGAAGGATCAGATTCTGTGCAGCCTTTACAAGCCCCCTTTTGCCTTGCAATCTACTCTCTCTCTCTCTCTCTCTCTCTCTCTCTCTCTCCCCCTCTCTGAAAATCATTGCTCTAGACCAACAATGAAGCAGACATTTGATTATTCTAAGTTGACACTGGAGGCCTGGATGCCACGAGGCTCACAGATGTGCTTTCTTTAGCCTGTAGTTTGGCCTGCACAGGGTACCTCTTCTACTCCTCATGCTCCCCAAAATTACAAATATCCTGTACAACTTCTAATATTTAAAAATCAGTAGATTTCCATAAGGATATAGCTTTATAGCTTCCCTTGAAAACATCAAAAGATCTAGCAACAATGGATCTAAATTCCCACACGGCAACACTATGCTACAACAGTGGTTCTCAAATCGCCAAAGCGTATTAAAGCAGAGACTGCAAGGCTCCCACTTTGAGAGTTGCTGAATCAGTGGGCTGAGATGGGGCTGAAAAATCTTCCATTTCTAACAGGTCTCCAGGTGATTCTGATGCTGCAGGTCCAGGGACCCATACTTTGAGAACCACTATGCTTGATCATTGTATGGGCTGCTCCCTTTACATACAGTGTGCAACTCCCATTTGCCGTAGCACCCACCACCTCCTATTGTCAGTGAGACAAGTAAAAATCTGATGTCATTTATCTGGCTTACTCTGTTGTTTTTCTTACACATGCAAAGCCATGTGACTGACTGAATCTACCTGGACTCCTAGGCAATTGAGTTAGCAACCTCTGCTCCTTTGAGGCAAGAACTCTGCCTTACCTAATACAGCACCGTCTTCTCTTTCTCCCTCTCTCCTCTCTCTTTCTCTCTCTCTCTCTCTCTCACACACACACACACACACCATGCCATGCAAAGTCTTACACACAGCATTTAAATATAGTAATTGATTTTAATTTCTGCCTACAGTCTAAAACTTTCAAGGCCTGAAGATAAGGGACAGAAAGACTTTTAAGCAAGGAGTTTGTGTAGTCATCTCCTCTTATCTAATAGATCCAGAGCTAAGAGCAGGGCCATGCTGCCTCAAATTTCACAGAGGTGGGAGGCAAAGAATGAAACAGATCAATGGGTCAGCCATGAGTTCTCCTGAGATCCACTTACCTAATTAGCTTCTCAATCCTAGTACTTATCCCCAAATCCCCTAAAATGAGCTACCATCCAAGAGTATTATCAACTGAGCAATTCAACAAACTGCCTTCACTGATTGGTTTTGTTATTCACCAGCCTGAGGGCATGGGGGACACCTGGGTAATAACTTTACATCTCTTCTTGCTTTATTTTCTATGAGCTCATTAATGAACCTAGAACAAATTCTGTGTGTGTTCTGAAATCCACTAAGTAAAGCCACTATGGAAAAGAATACGGAGGTTCCTCAAAAAACTAAACATAGAATTACCATTTGATCCAGCAATCCCACTTCTAGGCATGTATCCACAAGAATTGAAATCAGTATGTCAAAGAGATATCTGCACTCCCATGTTCATTGCTGCAGCGTTCACAATAGCCAAGTTATGAAATCAACCTAAGTGTCCATCAATGGACAAAAGAAAGTGGACAAACTCAAAAGAAAATTTGGGATATAAACACAATGATGTATTATTCAGACTTTCAAGAAGGAAATTCTACCATTTGAGACAAAAAGGATGAACTTGGAAGACATATATGCTAGGTGAAATAAGCCAGGCATAGAAAGATAAATACTGAATAATCTTACTTGTATGTGGAATATAAAAAAGTTGAACTTATAAAAGGAGAGAATGGTGGTTACCAGAGGCTGGGAGTCTAGGGAGTGGCTGAGGAGATGTTGGTCAAAGGATATACAAAGTTAGACAGGAGGAATAACTTTTTGAAATGTATTATACAATAGCATTATTATTATGTATTATTAACTATAGTTATAGCAATGTATTTTATATATCAAATTTGTCAAAAGAATATATTTTAAATGTTCTCAATAGAAAAAAATGGTAAGTGTGTGAGGTTATGGATATGTTAATTCACTTGGTATAATCATTCCATAATGCATACATATACTGAAACATTACATTGTACCCCATAAATATATACAATTATTATTTCTCAATTAAATATAAAGATTTAAATTTTTAAAAATCTACCAAAATGCAGGCCAGACTCTTTCCCTTGTCCACTCCCAACTCACAAGACCTATCTCTGTTCCTTGGACCAAAGCCATGGTTTGTGTAAAATGACCCCAAATTTAACTTCCATGAAGAGTTTAAATGTTTCTCTTCTCAACAGTGAAATTGGCAGTTCATTCTAGAAACTCTATAAAAGATACCAATCATTAAGACAAATTTTATCCTTCTTTCATGGGCTAACAGTGACTGAAAAGAGGGGTACACCAAGGTAATTTGTGAAGACTTGAGCACAAGTCTTGAAATTAAAATATTCTTCAAATGTGACCAAAAAGGACGTCTAAATTAACTGATAGAGTCCTCTCCTGCACTGTCAAAAAGTAGCTTCAGAGCAGTATTATTATTTTATGGAAAAGGGCCCGGAGGCCTATTACAACTTCCCAGGATTATACAGTTACAATCAAAGACAGAGATGAACTCTTTCTCAAATCCACAGCCTCAAAACCAATCATCATCATTATCCATACGCCTTGCATCAAGGACATACCTTCTCCACAAACTGTCTCCAAAAAGCTTAAGGACTCAAAGGCTGAAGATGGCTCAAAAACAAAATGGAGCATGATGATTACTCCTTAAAACAAGGAGAGAGAAACAGAAAATTAAAACATAGTGAATCAGAGAAAAGACATGCAAACACACTTTTACAGTGACAAATCATTCCCAGCCCAGACAGACTTTGCTTTAGTCTAGTTGAATGTAATAACAAATTCCAAGAAAGAATAGATCTCTCAGAAGGAGATTGGGAAGTAGAAACAAAGGTAAAAGAGTCTCAGACACAAGTTTTCAAAGCCCATCAAGCACCCCCAGGGAGAGCCTTGGCCAAGCATCCCAATCCTTAAAGAACAGAGATGCCTAAAACCTGTGAATTCCAGGAAAGCCAAAAGGAAAAGACTAACAGATTTGACCACATAAAAAGTAAACACTTCTATAAGGTAAAAGATCCCATAACAAATTCAAAAGGTGAATGAATATAGACGAGGAGAAAATATTTGAACCTATGTCAGAAAAAGGGTTAATATTATTTATTATATTATAAACATCCCTCCACGTACACACATACCATACCCTCCACCAAAAATGATCAAGGACAAACAACCCAACAGAAAAAATAGACAGGAGAGGAAATTCATAGACAAATCATGAAACAGGAAATGCAAACATCCCAAAAACATGCAGAAAAATTCACAATCTCACCTGTAGTCAGGAAACATGCAAATCAAAATAAAGATGTATTGTTTTTATTGATCACACAGCGAGGTGGAAAAAAAACAAACTAAAAAACTAAAAATATCAGCATCACTTAGGACTGGTAGGAATATAAGGAAACAGATATGCCTCTATGTTGCTTGGGCTACATAATCCTTGGAATATAATTTAGCCATGCCTAATAAAAATAAGTATGTTCTTTGATCTCAAATCCCTCTTTGGAGAAGTGCATATTGAGGTTATGCAGTGCCAAAAAATAACCTCAACATTCATCAACAAGAGAAATAATTGAATAAATTCCAGACATCCATATGAATATTGTGAATTTATTAAAAAGAACAAAAATAGCATTAATTTGGGAGATAGTAAAAGGCAGTGGTAGCACTTTGGACTCAAAAGCCAGATTGCCCAAGTTCCAGTTGCTGTTCCCACAATCACTAGCTGTGAGACCTTGGGCAAATTAATCACATGTCCGTTCCTTATCTACCCACTGGGGACAATAGTGCCATGGTAGTTGTAGGGTAAATGAGGTGAAGCACAGGGCCTGGCATGCAGCAAGTGCTAGAGTGATGTCCATGAGATTCTGTTGGGAGACAGAGAGATGGCACAAAATGAATAGCATGAATCTAAGTTAAAAAAAATTGTTTTATACAGTGGACTCTGTGTGTATGGATATGGTGTTGGTGGTGAGAGGAAAGGATAAAGTTTTAACTTTTTCTTTCCACATCTCTCTGTTCTTTGGCTTGTTACAAAGAACATGTCTTGCTTTTGTCATTTGGAAAAATGATTCAATAACATTTTTTGGAAGTGGGGTAGATGAGCATGATTAAAGGCATAATTAAAGACGGGGAGTGAATCTGGAAACCGACAAGTTTGGTGTGTCTGGAGCACAGGACATGTGATGCACAGCAGTAGGATATAAGGATGGAGAGTACATATAAAGAGTCGTGTGTTCAAGGGAGGGAGTGTAGACTTTAGCCAGATATTCATGGAAAGTTCTTAGGAAGAAAGGAATGCAAAGTATCAGCTGTGCTCTGGCAACCTGAAAAACAGATTCCACCTCCCCACTGAAACAAAACTTTCAGTGGCTCCTCTTTACTCTGTATAGGGAAAAAGTCCAAGCCTAAGTCCACGAGCCTTATCTGCAGCCTTCTCACCTCACCCTCCAGCTCTTCACTACCACCGTGCTCAGCTACCTGTGTTTCTTAGAAAACTCTGCCCTCTCCACGTCCAGACCTTGGTTCAGGTCACAGCTTCTACACACAGTGCCCTTCCTCCTCATGCTGCGCTAACTCCTCAGAGCTCACCTCAATCCCCTGAGGCTGTTTCCCATCTAGATCCTCCCAGATTACACCAAGATTATGCTTAAAAAATACTTATACATTGATTTATAATTGTCAGCTTATTGTCAGCCTCCCCAACTAGACTGCAAATCTTTAAGAACTGGTACTTGATATGATTCCCTGTTGACTCCTCAATACCCAGCACAGAACACAAAGGATAGAGATCTTGAAATATTTGTGAAATAAATGAATGCTTTTAAATACATGAGCCATCTAACGAATTTCCCTTTCTAGTATTCAATGTTTTTCAAAAAGCTTTCTGATTTAATTCACTATCCTATATATGTCAGCCCATAGGCAGAAATTTTTCAACACATCATATCAGTGCAACTCTGAGTCCATGTGACAGTTATATTGCTCATTAGAAACTAATAAATTGGCATAGGGATTTTATATGTCACTCTTGTAACTCAGTTCATGAAAGTTCTTTCCTGGAGAAAAAAAATTTCCATGTGCTGCCAAAAGCAGATTTCTTAGCATTCAAAACGAAGGGCCACAACTCTGAACTATGAAAAATTAGTATGATGAAAGGCCTTTTCTGGGTACATCTGGGCCTTGATTTAATAATTTATTCAGCAAATATTTAGTAATCCCCACCAAATGCCAACCTTTGTTCTAAGCTTTGAGGATGAGACAGAAAAAGACAGAAAAGCTCTACCACCATGAAGTCACATTCCACATTCTACTAGGGGCTAACAGACACACAGATAATAAACATGTAAAAAATAAGATAAGTTCAGGTAGGGCTAAATGCTATGAAGAAAATTAAGCAGGATAGAGAATGATTAAAGTTGGGGGAGAAGAGGTGAGAGCTCTTTAGACAGGTGGTCAGGATAAGGCTTCTCAGAGGAGAGGATATTTGAGCTGAGACTTGAGGGATGAGAACAAGTCAGCCAAGAGAAATGGGGTAGAGAATTCCAGACCTAGAGGAAGAGCAAATGCAAAATCTCTAAGGTGGGAATGAGGTTAGAGTATTCAAGCAAAGACAGAAAAGCAATATGACTGCATAATAATGAGCAAGGAAGGCAATTTGAAAGCAATCAAAGGGAAGGTATAGAATAGGTCATATAGGCCATGATAAGGAGTTTGGATTTTATTCTAATTGCAAGGCAAAGACATTAGTGAAGTATAGGAAGGGAAGTGATAGGTCTGATTTGTATTGTTAAATGGCTAATAACAGAATGAACTCTGAGAAGACAAGAGTGGAAACCAAGACGCCAGTCAAGAAGCTGTTGTCATGGTTCAGATGACAGCTGCTGATGGCAAGCACTAGGATAGTAGCTATAAACATGGTAGGTGGTCAGTCAGATTTGGGATAATATCTTGGAGGGCCAATGGAACTTGATAGATTGGATACTGGAAAGAAGAGAAAAAGAAGAATCAAAGTTTTAATCTCTTGGTTCTCTCATCAGAAATTTCTACACCTGCATACCGCTAAAAGTCAATTGTTCTAATGCAGATCTTTCATTCAGCAACCATCACAATGTAAAGCTAGTCAAAATTTCTGCTTCTGCATGACAATACTCAAACTATGTGTGCCAATTTATTACAGAGGATTCAAAAACAGTTTATTTTGCATTAAACTGAGGCTCTTAGCTTCTGAGGGGTTTTTTTGTTTGTTTTCTGCAATCTGAAAAGCAGCTCATTTTCTAAAGACCCAAGTACTTACAAAACAACATCAATTTGTATCCCCTTTAAAAAGCACCATTTCTATATTAGAGATCTATAGGCACATAGCTTCTATTACAGTAATCACTTCTTTATTTTGCTTTTTAGTCTTATTTTCTCATATGATGGCCGTGTTTCATATCACAGTTTTATGAACGTTAAAACCAAGGCTTAGCAAGCCAGACCGCTTACAGCACAGGTAGAAACAGAATGGCAAGCTGGCTTCCTTCGAGTCAATCCTTAATGTATTCATTCATCTTCTGTGAAACTCCAGCAATAGTGACTCTCAAAGAACTAACTGTTTAAGGCTGTAGAGCTATTTTCTTTCTCCTGAACCTAACTCTTTTGAAGCTTTATATATATTGCTCAGTAACAGACTCTTAGAAAACAATATTTTGAAAATATAATTACTATGTACAAATCTATGAAATGTATATAAAATATTATTAAAGGGAAAAAGCAGGATTGAACATACCCTCATAGCCAAAAAGAACTTAGGAAAATTCACAGTACTTATTGTATTAATATGCACAGTACTGTTAAGGACTGAGAGTATTTAGGGCTTGGAAGTAAACCACACTCCTCTTTCTCATCAAGGTATAAACCACAATGAGAGACTGCATTGGATACTGGAGAGAAGAGAAAATAAATAATCAAAGTTATGATCTTTTGGTTCTTCTCATCAGAAATTTCTGCACCTGCATGCTGCTAAAAGTCAGTTGTTCTACTGGAGAACTTTCACTCAGTAATCATAACGAAGTAAAGCTTGTCAATATTTTGTATACGTTTCATAGATTTGTACATAATTCAATCTAACACAAAAGAGTAGAGAGCTGAAAACTACTACGCCTACCGATAAAGCTGATGCTGGAGACTGCATAGCAACAATGGGCCTCCCAACATCAAACTGTAGGATGAGGCAGGCTTACACTGAGGTGCTAACTGGCAGTGCAGGGCAATGGCAATCCTCCCCTCCCCTCACTCCACAGGCCTATCCCTGTAAAATCTGCAGCACAAAGAAATAGGCCAGAAGGCATGATTCCTGAGAGAAGCCTGGCCCTAAAAGTAAGACTGGCCAAAGAGGCCAAGGTTTCTCACGGAGTTTCTCACCATCAGGTATCTTACTTCATGGAGAAGAGGAAGGGGTGACCCAAGAGGCCAGGAGTGTTAACAGGAACCCCTGTAACTACATCACATTCCCCACTCAATTTTACTCTCTTAACTTAGTAGTCTTCACACCGGCGTAAGTCTACCCTGGGATTCCATGACTACTTTCTAAGGAGAATACAGGCATAGGAAATTTTAAGGAAATCTATTCCTTTATTCAACTTTCACCTATTCTTTCCCAAAATTGAGCTGCCTGAAACATGACTGAGGTTGAGATGTCACATCAATTCTATTTTTACAACTCCCTTTAAAAATCATTCTTTAAGCTTCAAGTCAGTGACAAGTTAAAAAAAAAAAAAAAATCATCTTTTCCCACTTATAAAAGACAGGCATCTTCTTACCCATCCCAGATCCTTCTATAGCAAATTGCTCTAGTGTGCAAAAAAACCTCTAAGGCATACAAAGGAACAATTCCAAATACTGTCTTGAAATCAATATTTGATTTAATCAGGGTATAAGAAACCTACATGAGGATTTCCTGGCTTTCCTCATATATATTTCTGTTAAGAGAAAAGCATGGTGCTAGAAATTGGGTATTTTGGTCTATGTTGAGGTATTCTGAGTGTAGATACACTGGGGCAGGGCAGGGGCTGTGCTAATTTTTGTCTAATGCTATTTCCTCTTCCATTTCCTGATGATGTCAAAGAACGCGGTTGAGAGAGCAAACAAAAATACTAAAGGAGATTGTACCCTACTTCATCCAGATAACGAACTCACAGTCAGTTTCCAGGCTCCACATATACATCTCAAAATTCGGATATGCAAGATTTGTGAAAATCATTCTGGGAAATACCAATTAGCTACAAGGCACACCTGCTCCGGAATGAGAGCATTTGATGTAAAATCTCATTCTCCTGTGTCTCAGTTGCAAATTCCAAATGATTTCAAGGAAAAGAATGTAAAAAAATTCCAAATTTCCTTTCAATAGATCAGTGTCACATGAAAAAGGAACATATATAACTAGAAAGTTAATGTTTCTTATTTTCTTGAATAGATATTCAGATCTTAGGAGAAAATATTCTAATTAACTTTTGTCAAAAGATTGAATACAGTAAATCTATATTCATTTTTTTACCCAAGTATGTCTGCTCACTGTTATTTGCTAAACATTTCTCCCCTCATTATTCATTCCTACCATTCATATAATAGATTTAGATACATTCTTTTCTATTGTAAACAACACATTTAACAACAATCATTTATTTGTTTTTGTAAGCCCTACACCTAATTATCTTCCAACATATTTTCCCATTTTGTTGCCTAGCAAAAAGTTGTATTTACCTATAAATACATGAACTAATTGAGGAGAGGGGAGCTCCATTCACTTCACTGAGAGATATATTTCCAACAAAATTTTAGTTCTCTTTAGTAATGATTTGTAAAAATTTATAATGTAGGTATGATTATTATGTACTAACAATAATTGTAATTATAATTCAAAATAAATTTTTGCCACTTAGAACCTTATAGTCATAGGAATTTTTTTAAATTACCAACTTTTTTTTTTTTTTGAGACAGTCTCTCTCTTGTCATCCAGGCTGGAGTGCAATGGCATGATCTCAGCTCACTGCAACCTCCACTTCCCAGGTTCAAGCAATTCTCCTGCCTCAGCCTCCCAAGTAGCTGGGATTACAGGTGTCCACCACCACATCCAGCTAATTTCTGTATTATTAGTAGAGACGGGGGTTTCACCATGTTGGCCAGGCTGGTCTCAAACTCCTGAGCTCAGAGGATCCACCCACCTTAGCCTCCCAAACTGCTGGGATTACAGGCGTAAGCCATCGTGCCCGGCCTATAAATAACTTATTATTGTGGAAAAGAATAATAGAGTAAGCAATAAAATACATTTGGGCACAAAATATATTAAAATAAAATTATGTTAGGGAAGTAGAATGAAAATACAAATTCAAATAGGAAAAGGCATAATGTAAAATTTCTGTGAAAATAAATGATGGTATTCCTTTTCTATGGATTTAGATTTCATTTAGATTGCATTTTAAGTAACATAATCTTTTTTATTTTAAAATATTCACATTTATATTACGCAAAAAATTACATGTTTTGCAACTAGGGTCACAATATTTTACATGTCAACTTAAAAACTATTTTAGGGATGTGTCAGCAAAAGTATGAAGACCATTACCTTAACCCTGTGGGCTTATCCACTGAGATCAGGCTGGGATACGGTTATTTCCTAGGGTGAGAAGTCAGCAGTCAATTGGAGTAATCCTGCTCCCATCTTCGTGAGACCACTTCTCCAATACTGATTTCATCTGTTTTGTAGGACTTCCTGGGGCCACTAGTAAACTGTAGAGTCTGTCCCCAAAATGCCCTGAATGGGTCAGAACAATATATCGATTACATCAGTTCCAATGCTATTCTGTCCCCAAGGCTGTAATTCACAATATGTTCTATTGCCATCTCAAACTATGTCCTGTCAGCTTGTCTAACGTTATCAAAATTTCTAAAATGTGATCAAATACTTTAATAACTAAGAACCAAGATGTTCTCAATTTGATTTTGACCCTCTCCCAGTATTAATTGTCCAGAGAGAAATTAAAAGTTCAGAGATTAAATCACTCTAAATTATAGCCCAAAGTAATCACTACCAACTTCATGTTAAAGTCCAAAGTCATGAATGGCCAACACTGAACTCTTTTACTCTGTGAATTAAAGTTCAAACAGGCTTTGTCACTCCCTGGAAGTGAACTTAGCTCCAAACCTGAAATTTCCCTTCCCCCAGGGAGCTGACGCTGTTCGGCTTACCCCAAGCCTCCCTTGGCAGAAACAAGCTCTTTTAAAACTTGTGTGAGGTAGCAGAGGAGAAAGCACACTTTCCATGAAAAAGAAAAAGCGGAGAGGAAGAAGGTGGGCTGTTCAGGAGCCAAACTTACATGTCAGTAAACTCACTGGTGGCCCTGGAACAGAGCATCAAATAATATGTTCATGGCACTCCATGTTTCAAGAAACATGTGATATGGGGAAAAAAAATGTTTTTCCCTAAAATAGGGAAAAATTACAAGAAACAATCTCTCATATTTAAGAATTATTTATTGAATATCATGGTGCAAACTTCTGAGCTGGGTTCACTGGGAAATGCATAAGTGAGTCAAAGCTGGATGCTGCCTACCAACCAACCACTAATATTTCTAACACAATTATTATATATGTCAGTGACTCATATTTTAGATTTTTGTTATAGCCCCACCCTATTTCCAGTACCAATTTTTCTATTAGTGTGCAAAAGTTGATACCAAACAACTCCAAAGAGCTAAGTGACTCAGGACAGCAGAGATGTATTTCTTATTCATATACCTATGTATGGGTTAGCAGGGAGCCATTTTCCACTTTGTCCTGTCTCCGAGACCCTGGCTGAAGGAAGCCCACACAATTTGAAACATCATTGGAGTAGTGATTAAAGATGGCCACATTTTCTTGGAACTCTGTGGTTGACAAAAATGTTTGTAATAAATAAAGATGGCCACAAATTCTTTGTCACTCTCCCTCCACCCCTATCAAGTGTTTATTTCCTCTCCCCTTAAAATTGAGCTGGCCCTGTGACTGCTTTTACCAATACAATATGTCATTTCCAGACCTAAGACTTACAAAACCTGGAAGTTTTTGCTTTTTTGCATTTGCGAATCCTAAGCCACCATGCATGAAGTCAGGCTACTCTGCTGAAGAAGCCATGCAAATCAGAGTCTTTGGAACCGCATGGGTAGAGCTCAGCTACTCTATCAACCCACTTGAGCCTCCAAAAACTCCAGCCCCAGACAATACCAGGCTGGAACCACAAGAGACCCTAAGTAAGATTAGACAACCGCCCATGAGCCTAGTCAACCCACAAAACCGTTAACAGATAATAAAATGGTGACTGCTTTAAACCATTAAGATTTAAGGTGCTTTGTCATGGAACAATAGATAATTAAAATATTTCATCACTGTCGGCAGAAAGAGAGCAGGATAAATGTTCACAGGCTCTTAAAGCTTTTATTTGGAAATGACACAAGTCACTTCCAATCACATTTCATTGGCCACTCTTGAGGTAAAAGGAGTAGGGAAATCCAAATTACTATGTGTGTGGAAAAAGAAATAGAAATATTTTATGGCTAGTACTAATATCTTCCAGAGAAGAGATTACAAGTAAATCAGTAAATAGATGAAGTGTCAGGGGGGAAAAGCTAACAATAGGAGAAAAGAATGTAGATGACGGATTCTTCAAGATATCCTCTAGGCAAGGTAGGATGTAAGAGGAAAAGGAGGGTAGAAAGAAGTCCCCAAAAAAAAAAAAAAAAAAGCATCCACAGAGAAAAGTAGAGGGATCTAAAGCACAGTTTCAATAACAGAATAGTCAAGAAGAGCATAAAATGAAAGGCCAAAATGGGTGGTACAGACAAGGAACACATAGAAATTCAAGGAAGATAGGTTAATGTGGGCTGATAGAGGCCTCAGGTGGAGGTAGAATTAAAAGAATGGAAAGGCAATGGAATTTGTATCGTTGGAAATGAGAAGGGCATGCTCAGTGAGAAAATAGCACGAGTCAAGTCCTAGAGTGGGGAATGCACATAGCATATATGGGGCAAGGGACTAGGTATTGTAAGGGGAAATGTATCATTAATAGAGGGTATCCAAGGGATTGTTTGCTGGAGAACGGGAAGGCAGGGAAGGGACTTACAGAGGCCCTTGAGTGCAAACTGAGCTTTCTGAGTTGTCCTCTTTAAATTACAGAGCACCCCTGGAGATTGGTGTCTGAGCAAAGGAAATCAGAACACAGGTCTAGTCTCTTCGTGTGGGAATGAAATAGGAAAAGACCGACAGCAAGTCACCAATCGGAAAGTTATTGCAGTACTCAAAGCAGGTGTATCCTATTGGGACAAGAGCTTGTTACTTACAGTGGAAAATAAGAACTCCCAATTAGTCCAGTTCAAGGGGCTTACAATGAGAATCAAAAAAGCTGGGGTTTCCGGGAGGCTTCAAGTGTGAAGAAGTCGAGACACTATTTTATCAAGGGTATAAAGGAAAACTTTTTACTTCACATGGCAGCCAATGTTGGTTAGCTACCCAACATTCCCCACCTCACTTCCTTGACAACAGAACTTTAATACTGTCCAATTCCTCTCTTCCCTCCAAACCAATTGGAAAAGAAACCTACACACACATAATTCAGCCCCAAAGTAAATCCTGAGGTTCTAAGCTAGTGGTTCTCAACCAGTAGCACACCTCTGGGGGGTGGGAACGGAGAAGGGTTGCTTTATAGTGTCACAATGCCTGAGGTGTGCTACTGACATTTAGTTGGAAGGAATCAGAGATGGTAAATGTCCAGCAATGCTCAACACAGTCCTGAATAAGAACTAGAAAAGTCAGATAAACACTAGGCAATCATGGATGTCCCATGCTCCTTGTCTGTTACTGCTTTAGGGACAGCTAATAGCCCAGTTCTGGTCAATAAGATATAAGGAGTGGCCTGCTTCTGGGATGCTTTCTTCTTTCCTATCAATGTTGTTCCAACTGTATATGGCTCTTGGGACTGCTATAGCTATCTTCTCCTCAAAACCAGTTTCTTCTTTATCTTCCTATTTCCTTCACTGGCACCTCCCATTTTCTGTTACTAAGCCCTAAAGCAATTTTGACTTCTCCTAACCCTTAACCTTAAGGTGATTATTCCTTTAGGTTTGCCTGGGATAAACTGATTTAACTCCTGTTCTCTGGCTATAATTATTAATGCCCCACTTTACTTCCAAAAGTGTTCCATATTGAAGGATAGAGTATATGGTTATTCATTACCAATTGTGTCACTCCCCTCAAGTACCTCTAATGTAGGGCTCAGCAATATGGCTCATAAGTTGTTTCTACACCTCTCCAGGACTAAAAAATAGAAGTTTTTACATATTTAAATGATTTTTTAAAAATCAAAAGAATATTTCATACCTGAAATTATATTAAAAGTTCAATGTCGGCCGGACGCCGTGGCTCAAGCCTGTAATCCCAGCACTTTGGGAGGCCGAGACAGGCTGATCACGAGGTCAGGAGATCGAGACCATCCTGGCTAACACAGTGAAACCCCGTCTCTACCAAAAAAAAAAAAAAAAACTAGCCGGGCGAGGTGGCGGGCGCCTGTAAGTCCCAGCTACTCAGGAGGCTGAGGCAGGAGAATGGCGTAAACCCGGGAGGCGGAGCTTGCAGTGAGCCGAGATCCAGCCACTGCACTCCAGCCTGGGCAACACAGCAAGACTCGTCTCAAAAAAAAAAAAAAAAAGTTCAATGTCTATAGTTTTATTGGAACACAGCCGCACTCATTCAAGTATTGTCTATGGCTGCTTTCTCGTTATAAGGTAGAGTTGAGTAGTTAAGGCAGAGACTTAAAATATAATCGGGCCCTTTACAAAAAATGTTTGCCAACCCCTGCTCTAATGTCTCCACTAGCTCTGAGTCTCCTCACCTCACGCACAAATACCCTAGCCTACTGATTTCCCACTCTTTCCCCTGCCTCTAATCCTTCAGACATCTGGCTGCTATATAACCTCTCTACAAGAGTATCGACCCTGTCACTTGCCCCATCAGTATCCTCAGTGGCTCCTCCAAAACCGACAGTGAAAGGTTCAAACCTATCCTATGAGACTCAAGACAACAGACAAGGGCAAGAGAGAACACGTCAAACGAGTCGAGTGCGTGAGACTTCAGAGGTCACTTTTTCACACCAGAATTTTAAGGTGTGAGTCGTCCCAAGTACAAAAAACAGAATCTGCAAATAAGAGTGAATGACGAATAGAAAGACGACCTCAACCTGTCCACTTCCCTACGGCCGCAGAGATTATGATTCAAGGAATAACGAGACTCTAAATCCTTTAAAATTCTACAAGAGCAGCCTTGGCCAAACCCAGCGGGGAGTGGCTGCTCGGTGCCAGGGCGAGGAGCACGTAGACTGCCGATGCCAGAGAAGCCCGGTGCGGGCTCCGTGCTTTCTCTCCGTTCCAGGAAGACCCAAGCTCGTCGCCAAAACTTCTCGCCGCTTCCCGGTCTGCGCGCCCAAGCTGCCAGTTTCCCGAAAAACGCCACAGCGCCCTGGGAAAAAGCAGATGCCCCTCATGGGTTTGCGCCTTGCAGCTCAACTATGCCCCAGCCTCCCACAAGCCACCTGTCCTCCGCCAGGCGTCCCGCCCGGATCTGCCCCCGCCGTAGCCGCCAAGGCGCACGTGAAGCTCCCGGGCGGAGCGAGCGCAAGAAGGCGGGAGTTTGCGGACGCGAACCCAGGCCTGGGAAGCGAAGCGATTCCGGGGCGCACGCGCAGAGCCAGGGAACTGGAGGGGCGTGCCTCCCGTAGGGGTTACGGAGCAAGAGGAGAGCGCGTGGCGCTCAGGAGCCGGCGCACGCGCTGTGGTCTCGCCCCGCCCAAGAGCGTCCGAGCGGCCGCCGTAGCATCTTCTCTTCAGACCCGCCCCCCTCGTCTACTTAACCTAGCGGAGGCTTGCAGCTAGAGCAGGGAAGTGTGGGGCGAGGTGGGCGGGGCGTCGCACGCGTGCGCGGCCAGCGAAAGAAGGGAGGCGGCGGGAGAGATCCGAGACAACGTTACCCCGTCAACACCCAATCAGGAGCGGCCCTGACCCCGCCCCCTCTCCTCACGTTATTGGCTGGGAGGCCCCCAGATGGGCGGGGCCGGCCGTGGGGTTGGGGGGGGCAGGGGGCGGGGAGGAGGAGGAAGGCGCTGGCGGGCAGTGATGGCGGCGGGTGATGGGGACGTGAAGCTAGGCACCCTGGGGAGTGGCAGCGAGAGCAGCAGCGACGGCGGCAGCGAGAGTCCGGGCGGCGCGGGAGCGGCAGCGGAAGGGGGCGGCTGGGCGGCGGCGGCGTTGGCGCTTCTGACGGGGGGCGGGGAGATGCTGCTGAACGTGGCGCTGGTGGCGCTGGTGCTGCTGGGGGCCTACCGGCTGTGGGTGCGCTGGGGGCGGCGGGGTCTGGGGACTGGGGCCGGGGCGGGCGAGGAGAGCCCCGCTGCCTCTCTGCCTCGCATGAAGAAGCGGGACTTCAGTTTGGAGCAGCTGCGCCAGTACGACGGGTCCCGCAACCCGCGCATCCTGCTCGCGGTTAATGGGAAAGTCTTCGACGTGACCAAAGGCAGCAAGTTCTACGGCCCGGGTGAGGAGTTGGAAGGGGAGGGGAAGGACCCACTACAGCTCAAGCACGACCCCCTTCGGACGGGGAGGCCTCTGGGCACCGGGTTAGTTTGCCCAGCCTTCTCGTCGCCTGGACCCCCGCGCCTCGGCCGCCGCACCTGGGACGGCCCGCCCCGCCCCTACGCATACGCCGCCCCCCCGCAGCTGCGGGCACCTCCAGCTCTTCTCCCGAAACCAGGGTCCCCGCTGGCGCCCCAGCGACCAGCTCTCAGCATTCATCTTTCTTCCATGCCATTTCTCCTCGCAGTCTTTTTTTTTTTTTTTTTGGCTGGATTTTTCAAAATCGTTACATTTGTCACCGATCAGCGCTGGCCCTTAACCTCTTTTGAGTCTCCTAATTCCTGGGGTGGTTGGGGCACCAGGGAAGGGAGATTTCTGAAGTTGGGACCTAAACTAAAGTTTTACGCTCTGTAATTCACAGCTTTCTTTTCCTTGCCCCCGCCCCACGCTCCTTTTTTTTTTTTTTTTTTTTTTTTTTTTTTTTTTTGGCCACTGATCTCCTTTTTCCCTCGCTGTATTGCTCTCCGTAAGGCCACGTTTAGGGGCATGTAAAGTCCCAACCCTCCAGTCTCTGAAGTCCGGACGAATAAGCAACACCTCGGACTCTTTTTAAACCAGTTTTAGTTCGGAGTTGCTTTCCATGATTAGCAAGGTATGTGGGATGAGGACAGACCAGAATGCAGAGCTTATTAAAGACTGGTAAGGATATTCGCCCTGAGTTTTGGGGGTGGAGCTCCTATACCCAGCAGGCATGTCTCTCGTTTCTTTTTTCTTTTTTTTTTTCTGCTTTTCAAGTACACGTTGATAATGACTTGTGTTTTCACTTAGCAGAACTGAGGAGAAAAAACTTAGAAGAGTCGTAGATTCATACCCCCATGTGCCAGTTATGCAAGTTAAAGATTTTTAGAAATTTGTTTTCAGAGAACTTTGTGTAGGGTAGTTGATTTAGAAGCCCTTGTTTTACAGTGTGGTTATAGCATACATTTTGGATTATGTTAATAAACTCCAGACTCATGGAACCTGTTGGTATATCATAGAGTTGAGCAACACTGTACATCCTGGTTGTGCACTGATTAGTACTAAGCTTTAAAAAAAGAAAAGTGGTGACTACAATAAGAATAAATAATTAAATTAGAGACCTAAAGTGACCTGGTATTGGAGAGAGTACATCCAAGCCTTAAAGTCACAGGGTTGGCAGTCTGGAAATAAGCTGGTTTTCTCCTTAATTTAATCTCTAAGTGTTTGAGATTTATTGACACTTAAAAATATATACTTCTGATTTCAGTGGTTGGTAGCTGGAAGATATTTTAGAAGTGCTTTGGTTTGTAGTTTGTTCATTGGACTAGAGATAAGAAATAGGAGATTTTTGTTGAATTACGTAATTTATTTCTTAGTTGTTTGTACTTCTGTGTATATATACACATTTAATCCAACCAAGTGAATACATAGCTTACAGAGTTTTTGCTTCTAGTTATATAAATGTGAACACAAGGTGTCTACTGAAATCTTATATCAGCTGAAATGGTTAATACATTTTTGTTTACTTAAGCACATGTGGGACAAGAGAGCAGGGCCAAAGTACAGTATTTAAACAGGCCAAGTGAAGTAAACTTTTTTTAAATCAAGGATTTACACAGCATTTTATACCTAGTTCAAGCTTTTTCCCCATTAGTATTAAAATGTGTGTTAAGTGATTAGAAATCCTGTACAGGTTTAAATTTTTAATATAGACCTTACCCAGCTGAAAGATCAGCTTTTGTACCCTCTGTCTGAACTGCCACTGAAGAAAACAAAGTATTAGTACAAAGAATTGTATTAGTCCTCACACATTATGCCTTGGCAGTATCTGAAAATAGTTAGGAGAGACAGTCATAGAGACAGTTTGGCAGCCTCCAGAGGCAAATGTTTGTTCTGTGATAGAAATTAAAAATTAAAGCCAGGCGCGGTGGCTCACGCCTGTAATCCCAGCGCTTTGGGAGGCCGAGGCGGGTGGATCACCAGAGGTCAGGAGTTCGAAACCAGCCTGGCCAACATGGCAAAACCTCGTCTCTACTAAAAATACGAGAAAATCAGCCAGGTGTGGTGGCCAGTGCCCGTAATACCAGCTACTCGGGAGGCGGAGACAGGGAGAATTGCTGGAACTCAGGAGGTAGGGGTTGCAGTGAGCCGACATTGCCCCATTGCACTCCAGCCTGGGCGACAGAGAGACTCTGTATTAAAAAAAAATAATAAAAATTAAGAGTCATAGGTGGTAGATTGCTTTTTTATGGTAAGTGGACTGAGGGAGGCTCTTGAGATTACAATGGAGAAGTCAGTTTTAGATTAGTTTCTGCCAGTTCCTAGGTTCTGATGAACAACCTAAGAGTGATATACAGTTAGTATTCTACAGTTAATCAACAGCCTAACAGATATTTGAATATTTTATTATTGAAAGGAACCTTAAAGAAAGCCAGATCATTTTATGGGCTCAGAATATGTTGATATTGCATATTAATAGAAAATGTAATAAGTAGTACTTTTCCAAAAATCTTAAAGCCAAATTTCTGGCTGTAAAACAGATACAAGTTCAGTTTTGCTTTTAATTATTTTCATCCTCATAAATTAAGCAGTTTTGTAGCAGAATAATTCAGAAGCAGTAATTGTTAGTTTCTGTGCCTAACCAATATCTACTCTAATTTCACAGTAATGGTTTTAGGATTAAATTTTGTGAGATTTTTCCATAATGCTGAACATATGTTTATTTTTAGACATACATTTTTAAAGTTCAGACTCTTAATTAAATATTGACAATAAATTTGGTGGAGTATACACATTTTGGCGAACAGTTGGCATTAACTGTATTTGCAAGTATTAAATTTAGTAACAGATTAGGCGCTTGGCCAGCATGTGAGGAAAGTTTGGTCATGTAAAACTGAATATTGGAGGAGAAAGAAAACCAGATTTGTTAAGCATCCATTAATTTTTTTATCTCCATAATTCCTCAGTGAAGTTGGTAAGTATTGCTGCTCTACAGATGGAGAATCTGAGGTTTAGGTATTTTAGGTAGATTGGCTTGGATCACATGTATGTCTGATAAATCCAGATGGATATTACCACAAAGCTTATCTATACTATTTCTAGTAAACTGCATCCTGTGATAAACTTGTAGAGAATCTTTTATTTTTCTAACTCACCAAGCATAACTTGTAGAGAATCTTACTGTTGTTTTTCTGCATACCCTTCCCTGGTTCCCCTAAATCCAAGGATATAAAGCCTCAAAAAAACATGCTTTCGGCCAGGCATGGTGGCTCACATGTGTAATCCCAGCACTTCGGGAAGCCAAGGCAAGCGGATCACATGAGGTCAGGAGTTTGAGACCAGACTGGAAAACATGGTGAAACCCCAGCTCTACTAAAAAAATAAATAAAAAAAAAAAAAAATTAAATAAATAAATAAAGGCCAGGCACGGTGGCTAACACCTTAATCCCAGAACTTTGAGAGGCCAAGGTGGGCAGATCACCTGAGGTCAGAAGTTCGAGACCAGCCTGGCCAACATGGTGAAACCCTGTTTCTAATTAGCCGGGCATGATGGTGGGTGCCTGTAATCCCAGCTACTCGGGAGGCAGAGGCAAGAGAATCAGTCGAACCCAGGAGGTGGAGGTTGCAGTGAGCTGAGATCGTGCCGTTGCACTCCAGCCTGGATGACAGAATGAGACTCTCTCTCAAAAAAAAATGCTTTTATGGCTTTATGTTATACTGCCCAAAATGGTGGCCCCAAGTGGTTAATTAAATGTAAATTAATTAAAATTAGATATAATTAAAACTTGAGTTCTTTAGTAACACCAGCCACATATAAAGTGCTCAGCACCCCCATGGCTACCGTTTTGGACGGTGCACTTAGGTTTTTTTCGGATTGTGAGACTGGCGTGCCACCTGTTGCACTAACAAGGCACCTTTTAGAGTATTTCTGTCTTCCCAGAGAGTTGTTGAAAATACTGATTCTAAAGGTCGGAGGAGGAGGAGGAAACTTCATTTATTGAGCTTAGTATCTCTGATTTTCAAACAGCCCTATGAGATTGCCCAAAGCCACATATCTAGTAGGTGGCAACACTAAGAATTAAATCCAGGTTTTCATAGCTTCAATCCTTCCCATTGTATCATAACATAGTCTATTCAGTTTCACATGTTTACAGAATCATAAGTTTTGAAGACTCAAACAGCTAGTATAATTTTTAACACTTTTATTTAATATTACTGCTGTGGAACTTTACTAAAACAGTGCTTTTATTTTTTTGGAATGGCAAAAAATTATACACTTGACCTTTTTGATAGTTTATCTCGCGTTGTTGAAACTTATAACACTGCTGCTCCCTTATCCCAGGTAGAGTATTCTTTGACATATACCAAAGCTATATTTTTTCCAACTTACCTTTTAAGTTCCACTGAAAGAAAAAAGTCACATAAGAAGAACCCCATGAGATGCCTAATATTTAGGAGGTTGGGGAAAAAAACACATGTACCTTGAAGTGTTTTTCCTCCATTTTAAACTTTATCTTCAATATGTTCACTTTTATTTAATAGTTTAGTTTGCAGAATTGGAAACTCTATGTTTGCAGAGTTGCATCACAAAAACCGGACCCAATCTTACCTATTTCTTCATGGATGTCCTAAAGTTGACACTACCCACCTCATCCCAGCTTCTTGCTTTGAAGCCAACTGGCTTTGTTGTTTGGGCTAATGCCCATATGCTTCTGTTACCTACCAGTAAGATAAAAGGATTAGCCAGGTTTTCTGATGGTTTTTTAATATTCTGCTCAAATTTCTACTAGTTATACTTAGTTGGCTCTGAATTCAACATCATCCCATTGTTTTTAATCTTTGAGGGCATTGTATTTGTGTTAAATACTAAAGCATATTATAAAAGGATAGGTTGAAACTGGAAGCTATTATTCAGGGTGGAAGAAAGGAGTAGATTTAATAACA